ATTTTTGGAAAAAAATAAACAAAATAAGACAAGATAGGGTTGAAAAGACAAAGGGTAAGTCCCAGAAATATGGAAAATTCAAGGAAGTTATATAATCTCTCAAAATATTAGTTTCCACCACTGTAAATTGAGTCATTAGTAAGACCATCTCTGTCCTGAAGATGCAGTGAAGGTTAAAGAACGTTCAATCATCCTCTACCCAGTTCCTTGAGAAGGAATGAATTCTTAACATCCTGAAGTATACATTGTGTCTAATTACTTAAATTCTTTCCTATGAGTCTGAAATAGCACTAGATATGTATTTTCCATGAGGAAATTGCAGAAAGACTCATTTAAAAATAGGTCTATAGTTTAGAACTCCTCCAGAACAAGACTGAGAAAACTTGTGAGGATCAGCGCAGGGTACATGGTCCACACTGGACAGTGATCTTTATTATTGTAATAGGATGAGTTCTGCTGTGAGAACAGCATAAGAGAACTAGGAAGTCAATTCATTGCATGATTAAATCACATTACCATAACTTGGTAATGCATTAAGTTCTCCATTTAAATAAGCAAAGTTGCTCATCTCAAAAGGATGCTGGGGGCCGGCGTTGTGGTGTAGTGGGTAAAGCCGCAGTGCCGGCATCTCATGTGGGCACCAGTTTGAGTCCCTGCTGCTCCACTTCCAATCCAACTCTCTGCTATGGCCTGGGAAAGCCCCTGCACCCATGAGGGAGACCCAGAGGAAGCTCATGGCTCCTGGATTCGGATCAGCACAGCTCCAGCTGTTGCAGCCAATTGGGGAGTGAACCATCAGATAGAAGACCTCTCTCTTTCTCTGTCTCTCTTTCTCTCTCTGTGTAACTCTTTCAAATAAATAAATAAATCTTTTTTAAAAAGGTGCTGATGTCTACTTTATTTGAAGCAGTTCATACTTGTCACAGAGGAGGTGACTTAAAAATACTTTTAACTTGGATCTCAGATAAATGAATGATGGAATTACATATATGCTATATCAGACAGTATCTGATGTACAAACCACCTAGGCATGAGTCAAAATCTTTGCAGCCCCATAAAGACCATTGCCTTTGGACCCCTATCTGAAGAATAAACAGCCTGAGTTGAAAGATGTCTTCTAACATTCAAATATATTCAGGCATTGATCATCAATTACACAATGCCTTTGCTCATAAGAGATACTCAATATCAGTTGTTTGAACAAATGATGAGGGATGCACTGGAGACATTACCTCACTCCTACCTCCCAAAGTCCTTGCAGATGAAAGGAAATTCACTGCTATGAAGACATAATAATAGAACAAAACACATTTTCTGCTAAACTGATATTTGCTGAACAATCAATACAATTATTACTCTTAGTTCTATACTCTCAGTACCTTGTGAATTCAGAAGTCTTCATGAATTGACTTGAGAAGATAATTACCCATCACTGTTTAAATGGGATATTTTGTGGTGTGAGTTCAAATTATTCAACATAACACTAATGTCTGGAACACAAGCCACTGGGAAGTCAGAAACATCTCTCATTGGAATTTATAAGACGTCAGATATAAGCCCAGAACCAGTCTCTGGTTTTCCTGGCATGCCCTTCACAAAGGAGCAAATGCAAACGTGGCTTAGAATGAGCTCACTACAGGACTCTTTCTCCTTTTGGGCAGGAGATTGGCTTCTTTGTCATTTAAACATTTGTAACCAGATATAATGTAAGACCATGTCCTATCACCCACACCTCTCAGTGTTGGGAATAATTCTAATGGGATTATTTCTCATCCACAGTAGCAAAGCTAAAAATATCATATTCAAGTATCTCTCTAGAAGTTACCTCTCTGTCACCAGGACTATTTTCTGTTAATAACTACAGTTACTAACAAGAGAACAAAACTGAGAAATGTAAGCCCATTTTGAAAGATCCCATTTATGAAAAATGGGGTAGAACAAACAGCTCAAGATTTCTCAAGATTCCATGAAAATTCTTCTAATTTTAGTAAAAATAAAGCCAAATCAATGTACAATATTAATAACATATATAATCTATATGCATTTTAATTTATTATGGGAATTTAATATCTTTATAGTAGGCATCATTTTTCCATCTCTGGCCCCACTTCTCCATAAAATTTCCTAAAGGGAATAGTACATTGTTTGCATATGTTATCATATAAATTGCCTTGTATAGATCTATCTACTAAATGCCAGATGTATTTAAGAAGCATCCACATTTTTGATACATATAAGCCATTCCTAATGTAAATCATATATTATTTTATTCAATTTTTGAAAAAAAGTGGTAGTAGGAAGTGTATCATCAACTAATAAAACCTCTTACAAATGACAAATACAAGAATGTTGTAACTTACAGCTATCTCAGTTAGAGACTGGAAGAACTGGAACCAGGTTCCCTGTGTCTGCTTAGTGCCAGCTCTTTTCACTGCCATGCACACACATATGTGCAAACACACATGCACACACAAACACACATCCCACAGAGCATCATGTCAGATTGCTCATATTCTTCTTAAAAAGTAAATAAAATAACATGTGGCTTAAATTAGGACTGAGACTTAAATGTTAAGTGCCTGTGATAGAAATAGGATAATTTAATGGAAAGAATGATGCCATCAAATTATATCCTTTGGCATTTTGTAAGAAGTAGAGCTTTTAGGGGATCTAGAGACTGAATTCAGTTTCCTAAGCTAATCACTCAACAGCCTGGTTATACATTAGGTTACTGAGTGTGTAATAGTACTGGATTGGAGTTTTGTGGGTTTTTAAAAACTTCTGCCTTTTGACAAGTTTTGAGAAAAAAAATAAAGCACCGTGTGATAGTCAAGGGAGAAGAATGGCCAATAACCTTGAGTAATCAGTCATTCCTACTCTGATATGTGTGCTGGCCCAGAGCCTGAATTAGGGGCTAATTAGCTGGTTCCTGGTTTACACGTATGAGACAACCAGGTCCTCTGTTCCACCACCCTCCCCACTTCCCACTCCACTCCATTGCCAGATTTAGCTCCTTCAAACCATTGTTTGCATCATGTTCCCTTATTCAAGCCCTATGATGTTGTGTGCTTATTCGCTGATTTGAATCTGAATACTAATTCGCCTTTTTCGATTCTTCATCATTTGTCTGCTTCTTGTAAACCCTACTTTCCGGCAATCAGATCGCCTCTTTCCAGTAAAGCATTCTCATTACATCACCAACTCTTTACTAATTTTTTTTCCTCTTGTCAGTCTCCCCTCTTACTTCTCTGCTATCTCAAGTCCTATCCAAGCGTCAAGGCAGCCATCCTGACCTCCACACAGCCTCCCTGCTCTGCTCCATCCTTCATGGCTGAGCTCTCCCTGCTCTGGCTTTCTGGGTCTGTCTTTGACTGTTTGTCAATGTTCGTTGTACATTCCCAAGGTCAACATAAGTTCTTTCAGAGTGGGGATCTCTTGAGCCCTCTTCCCTTCCCCATTCCTACGTGCTCCAGCCTCCTGCCAACTACAGCAGGTTCCTGGTGAGTTCTTTCCTTGATGAGCAGCCCAGAGAGGGTGGAGGGGAAAAAAACACCTGCAAAAGCACCAGTGCTGTTTCTAGGCCTAAATCTTGAGCCATTGCCCTCCCTCATGCCCCACATCACTCAGCCACTAAATTGACAAGGACTTTGACCTCTGCACAGCTCACTAACTCAGTCCCTTCCAACTGTGGTCCTAAGTCTGACCCACCTCAGGCCACGCTCAAGCACCTCTTTAACCACCTCTCTCCCTCCAATGAAACAGTCAAGTGAAAACTTCTAGCTCCCACCTCTTTTTCCTCCATAAGAGAGAGTCCCATCCGTTATTAGATGCAGTCTCCCCTTCACAGGTTTGAAGACAGGAGTGACATCATGGTCACTTGTCTCGTGGGGAGACAACCTCCCACAATAAGAGCCAATCCCTAATGTCTCTACAGCCAAGCTGGAAAATATCTCACAGATTTCCCTTCCCTCACCCAAACCACCATGCAGAGAGTAAGCCTTGAGGTGGTGGGGTTTTCCCACCCAAATGCCTTCTTGTCTCGCTTCCCACACGGGAGGCCGTGGGACCCTGGCTTCCAGCTGCATCTGAATTTCCAGCCAGCAAGCAGCCAGGAGAGCTCCTGGTGATGCCAGAGGTTCTAGGCTTTCAACTGCCCCCACAACATCCACTCCCAGGAGTCCTTAAGCCCACAAGCCAGGATTAACTTTCCAAGCACCAAAGATACTTCGCTCCCGTAATCTCTCCTTAAAATAGGAAACAGATTCCCAGTGAGGTATCCGTGCACTTCACTGACAATTCCAATCGTAAAATATGGCATGTTCCTTTCCTTCGCTTTCCTATCAGCAACGGGAGATTCCAGCCACTGAAGCAGAGTTTTTCTTCCCCAGCACCTCCCAGCTGCCCTGGCCAAAGCGAGGGGCGAACGTCATTCCCAGGCCACGGCCAGTCCCGCAGCGCGGCCCCCTCCCGCCGCTTGCACACCCCCAGGAACCTTGCTCGCGCCTCTCCACTCCGCTTCACAGTCGGGGCCAGCATCTCTTAAATCAAAGAGTTTCCTTTCCTCTGCCTCCCCCGGTATTCTTCTCGGCCCGGACTCCCACGTGCCTTCCGAATGGGGGAGTTTCCCTCCCACGGCTCCTAACCAGCGGGCAGGGCGCCCCCAAGGCCCCAGCGAACACCAGCCGGCGCAGCCGGGCCCTGTGCCCACGGAGACAGCCGGCGACCTGCGCGCAGCACCGGCTGCGGGGAGGCCGGCTTCCTTCCTCTCTCGGTCTTCCTCCACTTGCGCCCTGGGACAGCCTCCAACAGGTGCAGCTCCAGGTGCCCGATTGGATTGCCAGATCCGTCACCTTGCGCTGCTCCTGTCGTCAAAGTTCTCCGCCCGCGCCTGCAGCCCGAGAGCGCCCTCGTGTCCGCACGCCTTGCTGTTCAGGGTGCGCCCTGCCCGCCACTCCAGCCCCACTGTCCTCCAGCGTTCAGTGCCCAGCGCGGCCACTTACCCAGCGCAAGGGCCAGGAGCAGCGGCAAGGATCTGGCGCCGCTGCCCTGGGCGGCCGGGTCCATCAACCCCACTCTGCGGGGCCGGGCAGCCCCTAGACGGGTCTCCCTCGACCTTCTTCGCCCCGTTCCCGGGCCCCGGGCGCCCGAGAGGGTGCCTGGAAACTAATCCCGGAGCCAGGAAGAAACGAAACTACTCCCCGGCTGGCACCCTGGCTACGGGGCAGGGAAACACCCAGGGCGGGCGGGCAGCTCCGAGTGTCGTGGGGCGGAGGGAGCCTCCTATTTAACCCGCTCCTTCTGCACACACCCCACCAAAGAGGCACAGGGCTCGGTGGCGGTAGCCGACACGGCGCTCCCATCCAAACTGCCCCACGCCCATACCCACACCCGGGGACATACCCGATGGCCCTCGGGCTGGCTCACCCACTCCCCCTGCTGGGTCGCACCTGACTGTGTCCCTCCCCCTGGGGGAGTAAACAAGGTAGGGAGAAAAGAGGCGAGCGAGGGTGGCACAGCACCTAAAGCGCTGAGCTCTTGCAACCCACTGAGACCCAGCCTTGTTGTGGAGCAAACGTGTTCTAACTTCTCTGGTTTCCCTGGATTGCTGCTGTCATGGGGAGACCACAGTCAGCATTCCTTGCGGGTAACCGCAGGCATTTATTTGACCATTGACAAGGCTTTCTGTTACACATGCAGGCAACATGGAAAACTCTTTAGAAGTCCTCGAACTAGTCTGTGGTTTTCAGTGGGCATTGTCTTCTGGGATGTACTTCACGCAACCTCATTTATATTTTTATTCCTCTGCTGGCTCATGTCACAGTCGGTCCCCCTGACAGTCATTTGTCCCAGTAGCCTCCACGGACACCAGATCTGTGTGTGTTCATGTCCCTTTGTAAAATGGTGTAGTACCTGTAACCTACCCACGTCCTCCCGTGCGCTTTTATCTTCTCTAGCTGGGGTATGATACCCAATCCAACGTAAATACTGCGTAGTTGTCTTACTGTATTGTTTAGAGACTCATGATGAAGGGGGAAATATATATGTATTCAGTACAGATGCGATACTCCCTCCCCCAATATTTTCTATCTGCTCTTGGGTGAATCTACAGACACACTATTTGCATTTTCATTCATTTACTTATTTCATTCATTTGTTCCATTATTCTCTTAATTTTGGTTGTATCTATAAAAATAAGGAGAATGATTTTTGCTTGTGATTGCCAAGCCCCTTCCTTTGCCGGGTCTCCCCTCCTCTTTGTGGAACGTGGTTTTGCATCAGGCCATTTCTGGAAGACAAAGACATCTTTGCAGCTCTCAAAGACAGAGAACAGCATCGAATTTTACTTATGTGGTTAGCATCCTTCCCTCCAAAATAACTAATGGGTGCAGCTGCTTTTGTGTTCAGGTCAGTTCCACCTGTGAGAGCAGGACATGTCATCATGTCCCCTCGGCACAGAGATTGTGCTTCTACAGGATCCAAAGATCCAGCAAACATTATTCTGTATATGAAATGCAGTTTTGATATTTGCCCTTTCCACTCCACCTCACTGTTTAAATTAAGTAAATTATTATGCACTTTTCTTCCACTAGTGACATTCATTTCAAAACCAATTAAGATTATTTCTGTGCCGCAGGCAACCAATACATCCAGAGAAATAAAAATCAGCCCTTAATTTTTCAAATTCCATTCTAGCCCCACATGATAGCTCAGAAAGCACTGGGAGAAAAGGCAGACATGGAGCTGGGAGAGTTCTGGGACAGAGGGTGACTGCACCCCACATAAAAAGCAGCAGAAGTGCAGGAAGCCGAGGGGTTCTGGCTTTCTCTCTCTCTTCCTGGCAATGCTTCCACCTCTCCATTTCCTCCCTGATGTTCTCTCTCTTCCTCTCTCTCTCTCCCTCTCTCTCTCACTCAGGGTCTTCTCTCACTTGGGATGGAACCCTTGCCAACAGCTATCTTGTCTTCCCCAGGAGAGCATTACAACTTTATTTTCATTTTCCAAAGACACTAATAAAAAATAAAGAACACCTAAATTAAAATTACTAAATACTTGTTGAGTATGATAAAGCACCAGGACTTAATATAAGTATGCATCATCCATGCCATTCAAATAGCAAATTAACTTTTTCAGGCCACTAGAGTATGAAATAGTGTAATTTAATATACTAAATTGATAACCTTCCCTGAGGGCTTTATTTATGTGCCATAAATAAAACAGCTCCAGAGAATACGCGTTCCAAATATCCTGGCACCAGAGATCCAGTCTCTTAAAGGTCAAGAGATTCCTTTTCCTTCCTTCCTTCCTTCCTTCCTTCCTTCCTTCCTTCCTTCCTTCCTTCCTTCCTCCCCCCTCCCTTCTCTCCCTCCTCCTCCTTCCTCTCCTCTCCTCTCCTGCCTCCTCTCCCCTCCCTTTCCCCCTCCCCTCCCCTCCTCTCATGTCCCTTTCTCTCCTCTCCTCTCCTCTCCTCTCCTCTCCTCTCCTCTCCTCTCCTCTCCTCTCCTCTCTTCTCCTTTCTCTCTCTCTCTCTCTCTCTCTCTCTCTCTCTCTCTCTCTCTCTCTGCTTATGGAGGAAGGGAAATCTGGAATACAATCATTAAGTTGGGATGAGTAGAAGGTAACATTGATCTTCCTGGGTCTTCATGTTACTGAAGTGTGTCTTAATACTTTAGATTGTAAACTGGGCTGTTGCTAAAAGACAAATGGATCAAAATTACACCAGCATCACAAGGTAGAACTTGTATCCCCAGTAACCCCAAGTTGGTGATGTCTTTCCTATTCGGGTGTAGGCAGGTATAGCCAGCCCTCCCAAATCTGGAATGAGGTTAAATGGATGCCTTTGAAAGGCCTTTAAGCATCAGCCTTGTCCTCTTCCCACACAGAGCAGCCTCCAGCAGGAACATTCTTCCCCTTCCTCTGAACAAGACAAAATAAGCTTGTAGCTATTTGGGGGTCATAACACATAAACAGATGCATACATGTTAGGGAAGGGACAATTTCAGAATGCACTAGTTCTAGGTCAACATATACTCTCTAAATTATATCTTTAAACCATAAGTTCAGTAGTGTAGGAAAATTCCTTAGTGGCCAACATCATTTAATTCAATAAGAATGAATCAATGTAAATGGTGAAAGACTTTAAAAATATAATGTTTTCATAGTATTGATAAATATGTATTATAAAATAAAAATCAATATAGGTCATATAGAGAACTTTGAAATATTATGAATGAGACCATTGGATTAACGTCTAAGCACAGAGCAATGAAAAACACCACTCAAATCTGTGACTTTGTTTTATAATCTAATTTTCTTGGAAGAGAGAATCACTGTTTTTTTCTTTTTCTTAGCCACTTTATTACACCTTCCTCTTCAGTGTTTGGAGGGTTCACTTTTTTACATGTACACCTCAGCCTATTTGACTTGGCTGTCATTCTTAAAATGACAGCTTAATAGCAGTTTAATACATCTCAAGTATACTTGTCTCTGCAATTTAGTATGTGATAGTCTCAGTTCACATTATGATCTTTTTCTTTGAACATATTCTTATTCCAAAAAGAAACTTCTGATTGTAAAAAAAATCTAGGCTTTTGTGTGGGCACCAGTAGTAAGCTAATTAGGCAAACACCTAAGTGGCATAATTTTCATGCTGTAATATGGCAAGGCCATAAACATCCCTCCCTAACACACTTGCTACAGTGGCTTCAGCCCCTCCTATTTAGTCCCACATTCCCATCAGTGTAAACACTCTTTTGGGTGGGACACCAGAGGTGAACTATTGTGTACAGTTAGTTTGGAGTCTATTTTGTCTGCTCAAATGCTGTGTCAACGAATGGGTAAAACACAGGTTACTTACTCCTTTGAGCTTCAGTTTCCTCATCTGTAAAATGTGATGGTAGTTGTGGGCACAGTCTTTCTGATCCACCATGATATACTTATATATTTCCAAAGTATTCACAAATTAGTCAATGAGTTAAAGTTGTCAGAATATTAAATTTTGGAATATATAGAGAAAACCAGCAGGAGAATTATTCACTGTTGCAGAAAGCAATCAATTGAGGCCAGCATTGCTGGTGGTGAAAGAAGTCACCAGAACTGTGAGGTCAAATGGGTGGAGTTAGATTTCTTGAACATGCTACAAGGGAGCAGCAGACAAGCAGGCCAACTAGAAGCTGACAATTGCTACAAAATGGACTATAATCTAAGTAGTGTGTAACAATGGTCTCTTCTTAGTGTGAGTACTTCCCATGATTCAATAGGGTTCCCCAGATAGATAATTTTTATTTCTAGGTGGAGCTGGGGAGCCCTTCACACTCCAACTCTCTCTTAGGAATAGCCGAGTTGGAGGGAAGGAAGCAAACAGCAAAGCTTTGCCAGGAAATAATGCAGAGTTCAGGTCCCATGGAATTCAGCACATTGTGTGCCTTTTTGTACTACCTTAGATCCCTCTGCTCTCTGCCCTTTTCATTCCTCCTATCTCTTTCAGCTCTCTTTAGAAAACAAGACGATATACAACCCAGAACACAGTAGTTTATCAGGCATTGTCTTGGCCCATTTTCTGTTGCTGCAATTGAGTACCACAGAATAGAAAATATGTGAAGAACAGAAGTTGACTTAGCTCATGATTCTAGAGGCTGGGAAATCTAAAGCACGATTCCAGGCAGCTTATGAGGAGGCCCTTCTTGTTGTGTCACAGCATGGCAGAGCACATCCCACGGTGAGATACAGCAAGCTTGTTAGCTCAGATCTCTCTTCTCATGAAGTCGCCAATGGCATCATGGAGCACCCTGATGACCTCATGTAACTCTAATTACCTCCCACAGGTTTCACCTTCAAATACCATTAACATATCAATTTGGGAGTTACATTTCCAATACATGAACTATTGGGGCACATATTCAAACCATAATGTTCTGCCCATGGTCCTCCAAATTCATATCCTTATCACATGCAAAATGCATTCATTCTACTCCAGTGGTCCCAGAGTCTTAACTCTTGCCAGAACCAGCTCAAAAGTCTAAAGTACAGAGTTGCATCTGAATCAGATATGGGTGAGATTCTGGTGCAAATTCGCTCCAAGGTGAACCTGTGAAATCAAAATAAATGATCTACTTCCAAAATACAATAGTGAGACAGGCACAGGGCAGACATTTCCATGCCAAAAGGAAGAAACAGAAACAGGTAAGAGTGGCTTCAAGACACTGCAAGGACACAAAAGAGAGTGGCCTCAGGACACAAAACCAGCAAGGAAAACACGTTCAAGTCTTAAAGCTGGAGCATCATCCCCTTTGAGTTTGTGTCCCACATCCTGGGTATTTTGGTGCAGGGTTTGGGCCATTGGGAAGCCCCACTACTATGGCTTTACT